TCCTCCCACACCTCGAGCCGTGCCTCTCCTGCCAGCCTACCTGGCGGAGCTATGCCTGGAATGCTGCTCCTGGCCGCCTGCCCGTTAGCTCGAGAGTGGATTAAGGTTTTTCTGCAGAAAGGTGCCCAGCCCACGGTACCCATAAAGGGACCCCCAGCCACAGCCCTCTGAACATGCTCCAACCTCTTCTGTGCTCAGAAGATGAATTTTTTTGCCTTCCACTTGAATCACGAGTCTCATTAATAGAGAGCACAGAGCTGGAAACACACCTTAGAGTTTGATTTTCTGTGTCCATACCCATCGCCACCAGCTGCTTCCCAAGCCCCAAAAGTTGGGATGGTTGGTTGGGGCTGTCCTGAAGGTTGGGCTGGGGCTGCCCTGTCCCAGGTGGGCAGCCAGGGTCCAGCTCACCTTACGCAGTCCGAGGATTCATTCAGATCACTTCTCCATCCTCACCACCATTTCTTTGGGGCTGGTGCTTCCCTTGCAATGCAGATACTCCTTGATTTTAGAGGTGCTTGAAAGCCTGAGTTGACCCAAAAGCCTCAGAGCGTTGTTTTTTCCCAGAAACAGAGGGAGATGCAGTGCTCTTGGCCAAGAACAGCTTCAGAGCCAAGACAATCACTATTTGGCAGCTGAATCACAGTTGGCAAGCAAGATACCGGTTGATTTTTCTCCCCTCCCCTCCGGTGACTTCTCTTCTGCAGTTTGGGGGTTCAGACGTACGCTAAGTGCTGGAGTCCCACCACTCACTCAACTCTTTGGTTACCAAAGCTGAGCACCCGGCAACCTGTGTTCTGGTAGGGGTTAACCTGCACCCAGCCAGGCTTTGGCTGCAATCCTCCACCTGCAGCAAACATCGCCCCAGCACAAGAGGCTGGGAAGATATTTACAGACCAGTTTTCAGAATAAATTGCATCGTTATGCCAGAAGGAAGATAAAACCCAGCCATAGCCATGCTCTCTTAGGCTAAAGAAGTCCCATTTCAATGCCTCTTCTACCGGCTTACTCCTCCAGACCAGCAGGGATGCTGGGATTTTACCAGGCAGAGAAAGGACCAAGCCAAGGTCCAGCATCCAAGAGCACATTTGGCAACCCACCGCGGCACCACGCGTGCACCGTCCACGAGCAGCTCTCCCAGTATCCCCATGCTCCTGGTGCTGTAGGAGTCAGGAACAGGCTGGTAAGGCTTTGTGGGCAAAGGATGGCCAAAGGCAAAGCCAGCAGAAGGAAACTCAAAGCACATCCACATTGTCAGTGCACCCAGGGATGTGCCACAGCGGGGAGAATCCCAGGGGATCCACCCAGTTATCCCAAGATTTCCCCTTCGCCTGCTGCCCACCAAGTCAGGACTCCGGGGTCCCATTCCCTGCAGGGTCACAGACTTGCCCTGCAAACTGGGACCATTTTGCTGCTTACTTCCCATCCCTGTCCCAGCCTGCAGAAATGCAGACAGCACCTCGGGGAGGCTTGTTACCGTGGGCAAATTGCTTTAAAGCCCTTAAAGGAAAGATAACTGCTTCACGCTGCTCTCCCAACAAATTCTGAGCCTCTGCAATTCCCTGTCTCCCCAGGAGGAGCACTCTGGATGAGATCAATTCCAACCCTGCGTGTCTGAAGATGTTACAAGCCCGTCTGTCCCTGAAGCACAGAACTGAGGACTACACACCCAAAGAGAGGCCATGCACTTAAAACTGCAGAGATCAGCGAAAACTCCCCCAGCCTTTCTCCGTCCCCCTTGTTTTAATTGAGCATCACCCACAAATCAAAGACCCTGGGGCACGGCCAGCCCTCCCGTTCACTTAAGCTAATTAGCATCCCTGCAAGACAGAGAGCGCAGAGGTCTAATATTAGACCGAAGATGCATTTACAGCCCATCAGGATGACACAACATCCTCTGGGAGCGTGCAGACCTTCTCCAACACCCACTGCTACATAGGGAAGAAGAGATGGGACAGCATGAGGCCGTCGGTCGTGGAAGAAATGTTTTCCTGTGCGGGTGGTGAGGCAGTGGCCCAGGTTGCCCAGAGCAGCTGTGGATGCCCCATCCCTGGAGGGGTTCAAGGCCAGGCTGGATGAGGCTTTGGGCAACCTGGGCTGGTGGGAGGTGTCCCTGCCCATGGCAGGGGGTGGCACTGGATGGGCTTTAAGGTCCCTTCCAACCCAAACCCTTCTGTGATTCTAAGATGTTAAGGTTTGCCTCCTGGAGAGGGGCAGCTGAGCCATTGTAACCTGCTTTCCTCCTTCTCCCGAAAATATCAGAATAAGCAAGGTACAGAGCAGGGCTCGAAGCAAAGCCCAGCTGTGAAAGAGCACCTATAGCCTAAACAGTGATTAGCAATACCAGCCCTCCTTCAGGGCAGAAATCCACTAAATCCAAGAAATACAGTTAACTCCACACGGCCTCAGCTTGAGGAAAAAAAAAAACCCTGCCTGGGGTAGAAGCAAATAAGAAAAAGTGGTTTGAAACCTCACACGTTCTTATTCACTTTGTAGTCTGTGCTGGAGCCAGACTGAAATTAGCCAAATTGGGTATGAATTATTGAAAGCACTGGAGCCCCATTTCCTTTGCTAATCAAAGAAAATTATTCCAGGGAGCTGAAAAAGCGGGAAGAGAAGCATTTTTTTCAAAGAAAAAAAAAAAAAAAAAAGACCCTGCTAGAAGGGCTTTTGTAAGGAGGGAGCAGCTTGCAGAGCACAGTTCACCTCCTCCCATCCACAGCCCATCAGGGCGAGGGGGCCATCCATCCCGTCCTGTCCCCACCCTGGCCACAGAGCACATCAAAGAGCCCTCCTGCTCCTGGAAGTCATCCCGAAGGAATGCAGGATCTTTGCTGAGTGGTTAATAAGATAAACAGACCAAAGTCCCACTTGGGGTAAGGATTAGCGCGAAGCAAGCCCGGGCGGGGGGTGGCAGTTCTGGCAGGCTCCTGGCAGCTCCGATGGGCAGAGCCCCACGGGGTTCATGGGCAGAGGCTGGTCCTGCCCATCATCCTGCCCAGTGCTGCCCATCGCCGCGCCGCAGCTCCAGACAGCCCGACGGCTGGGGCACAGTCAGCTCTGTCCTCCCTGCCAGCAAATCCCAGCTCCTGGGCTTTGTCTGGAAACCAGAGGAGTACTGAGCCATTTCCTTGCATCTTCTGCTGGGACAGCTTCTGGGGATACCCAAATGCCACCAGCTCTCGGGCAGAGAGAGTCCGAGACAAGGAGCACAAGCCTTGGGCAAAAGGAGAGCATCACCGGAGCCAGCAATTAGCAAAAAGCACTAGAGAGTGAGTTCTGCCCCTGCCAGAAAGGCAGAGCTGCTCAGTCCCAGGTGGGTGCAAATTGGCCAGGGCATGAAAACAATCTGGAGCGATGCACGGGACTCTCTGCACTCTGCAAGCAGCCAGCCACGCCTGGAGATTTAATTTGCGCACACGGTGCGGCAGGGCTGACTGATGCTGTGCACAGAGATAGGGAGCAGGCAGGGGAGGTTTGGACAGAAGCAATGATAGCACAGCAACACCTTCTGTTAAAGGTACAGGTAGGTGGCCTGGTGACACTGTGACCAAAAACAAGTCATAGAATCCCAGAATGGTTTGGGGTGGAAGGGACCTTAAAGCCCATCCAGTGCCACCCCCTGCCATGGGCAGGGACACCTCCCACTAGCCCAGGTTGCCCAAAGCCTCATCCAGCCTGGCCTTGAACCCCTCCAGGGATGGGGCATCCACAGCTGCTCTGGGTGACCTGGGCCACTGCCTCACCCCCCGCACAGGAAAACATTTCTTCCCAATATCTCATCTCAATCTCCCCTCTTCCAGCTTTATGATCCCCTGTGGGAACTCAGACCTTTCCCACTCCATGTCCCTTCCCTTCTCCATCCTTTCCTTCTACTCTGTGCCTGTACAAAAAAAAAAAAAAAAAGATGAACCAGGGAGAATGATGCTTCCCTGTGCATCCCCCCAGCCAGCTCTGGCTCAGCACCGATCAATCCCAAGCTGTTCAGGAGGAAAACACACGGCAGAAGGAGGCAGGGAGCAGCAGCAGCCCCCAGTCCCCCTCCAAGTTCTGAGAGGAGCAAACAAAGGCAAAGCAGAAGCCCGAGCACATGGCCAGGACCCAGCACTTGTCCGAACGGCACCGCCAAGAGACACGCCATCTGCACCACTGACCAAGAAGCCTCAACCCATCCCGGCCAGAAACACAGCGGGATGTGCCAGAGCGGGAAGCGGGGCCAAAGGAGCCTTCCCAGACCAGTAGCCTCCCACGGCAGATTAAAATTCCCCAGGAATTTGCTAAACAAATCGCCTCTCTTCGCTACCGCCGTAAACCCGTGGGATGTTTTGCATCACTGCCACGCACGGGAGGGAGGAAACAGCCCCTTGTGCTTGGCCCACGTGCAGGACCCCCACGCGAGGAGCAAGAGGAGCCCCTGCCAGCGCTGGGGATGGGGCAGATGCTTCTGCAGCATCTCTGTGCAGCACCAGCACCTCACCCACGAGCAAGTCCCCACTCTCCCCCGGGATGTGACAGCCCCGGGAGGATCTGCCCCAGTAGCCCCCATTGCTCCAGCCCATGGATGGGGAGGCAGAAAGGAGCCACCAGGAATTTTTGGTGGTGGATTCTCTCCGTTTACTGCATTTTACAGCTGCTGGCTAACTCTCTCTCACCCTCCCGAGACGGAGGTGTTGATGCTGTTCTCATTATCTTCAATTCAAAACAGAGCCAGGAAGCAGAGGGATGAAAAAAAAAAAAACCACCTTCTTTAAGACACCCACACACTAACCCTCTTCCAGCCCCCCCCTCCCTCGCCTGTTCTGAAGCACAGTGAAATGCCTATGATGGAATAAAAAAAGAAATCGTTGCAGGGGTTGAGAAAGAAATCGTTGAAGGGCTGCAGAGAGAGCGGAGCATGGGAAGTGACCACAGCCCAAGTCACCTAACACAAACCCCTGGCAGGGATTTTCTCCTGCATGCCGTGCAACGCCTGTAAGGAGACTGAAAAGAAAGTTTTGCACGGGCTGGTTTGCAAGAACAAAACGTCTCAGTTCTATGGAGGCAGAGAGCTAAAAAGAAAGAGAGAAGAGAATAAAAGTGAACAGGCAGAAGACAAGAAAAAGGATGGGCAGTGGAACTGAAAGGGAGATGCTGTCAAAGCAGTCCCGCTCCCAAGCACACATGGGAGAGCTGAGGCTGCAGGAGGGGATGCAATTCTTCCACGGGAGTAGGTAACAGGGCTGCCACAGAGATGAAAAATCAGGAGAGTTCTGGTCTGGTCAGAATCTCAATTTCTATAAGAGCTAAGTGACATTTTTTAAACATATGGAGCATCTTTCTGGGTTTGGGACAGCTCCTACATGCACGCTTAGAGTGGTCCTCAGCCGTGCTCTCACTGCTGGAATAATTCCCATGGGGGAGTCAGAGCATCACCCCCAAGACAGCAGATCCATGCTTACTAAAAGCCTTAACACTCCCTCACTTGGTCCACGAGCCCTATTTTCCAAGCTGAGGTGACACCACAAAGCCCAGAGCAAGAATTTCTTGAAGATGCGCTGCTCTGGGACAAGGGTCTCGAGCCACCAGCGGGACCTTTGGTGGCATGTCCTTACTGTACCCAATGTTTCCCTACGCACTGTACCAGCACAGCCCACGTACATGGCTTTTCCCAGGAGGTTCAATGTCCACGCACATCCCCAAAGCTGGCACAGCAGCCTGGGCTGGGGCGACTGCTCCGGCGTCCATGCAAATCACGCCACGAGCAAGGCTCTAGTTAGGAGGAGCTCTGGGTTCTCATTAACCACAGTCCTGATGAAGGTTTAATCGGAACTTCCTTCCACCCAGACAGCTCAGTGTGGAGTCACACAGCCCCTCCCACGCCATACATGCAAAAAAAAAAAAAAAAATCTTGATTTTTCAAGTGCAGTTGCGATCAAAGGGAAATACGACACACACATGCAGGGGGAAGATCTCCCAGGGGTTAGGCAGCTGCTGAGCTCCAGAAGAGCGTGCGTGATGGGGATGGCAGGGGAGGAAAGCTCTGCACCTAGCACGGAGCCTTGGGGAGCTCCGACACCCCCGCAGCGACTCCAGCCCTCCTCGTGCACCAGCAGCGTTCCCCAGGCACAAACACAGCAAGACTGCGGCTTATCAGGCTCATTCTTCCCCCAATAAATCTCATCCAGATGTCTTGAGGAACAAGGGGAAATCCCCTCCTGGTGCTGCTCGGGGCCGGATCCTTTCTGTGCATCCCCCCCTTCCCAGAGCAAACCCCCTCCTTCATCCCAGTTCCCGGTCCAGCCTCCTGCACAAGTCCCAGAGCTGCTCCTCGGCTGTTCAGCACCAAAAAAACCCACTTTCCAGGCACCCTCAGGGCTGAAGGGGGTTTGCAGAGCTCAGCTGAAGTCTTGCTTTTTGACCACATTTTTACTCCAATTCCATGTAACCAAACCACGCCGTTCTCGCTCTAACCTGAGCTGTTTCACAGAGATGCCCTGGTTTGAACTCCCCTCTTAAGACAGGAAAGATGTTGATGTCTAGGATTCTTCCAAGCTGGAGCGACAGGAGATGAAGATAGTTAAAACATTCATGTTTTTCCACTCAGCTGCCACCATTCTTCCCATTCTTTCTGCAAAAGCACTCAAAAAGGTTTGTTTTGAAATTCAAAGAGCAGCATTCTGGGCAGCTTTGTTTTGAACCCTCCTGTGGGGAGCTGATGGGAAACAAGTCCTGGAGCTAAATTCTCAGACTCGGAGCTCAGCAAGGGTTCCCAGGGTGGCAGGAGCAGGTTCTCATGCCTGGTTTTGCACAGCCAACCCCAGGGCAGCAGGGCTGGGCAAGCCAAAAGGGGCTTTTACGGACCTCAGGAGAAGCCTGAGCTTTGGAGAGGGCTCAAGGGAAACCAAGATTTTGGGGGGGTCAGTTTGGTCCGTGCTCTCTATAGCAAACCTGCCAGCACCCAGCGTATAGGATACGCGCGCAATGCCCAGGCTTCCCAGATGTGGGATGTTTTCTTCATCCCACAAGCAAGTCGAGTGGATATGAGAAAGTGGGTTTATCAAGGCAAGCATCCCTGCCCATGGCAGGGAGTTGGAACTCGATCTTTTTAAGGTCCCTTCCGACCCAAACCATCCCCTAAGTGACACAGCTGCCAAGTCAGCCGGATGCCAAACTAAGAACCGCTGCAGCTCCCCCAAGCAACACTTTTTGACCTACCCAAGATACTAACAACACAAGGTTGCTTTGTTTTTGTAATTTCTCAGCCACGTACTAACAACACAAGGTTGCTTTGTTTTTGTCATTTCTCAGCCACACAGCCTGGATAGGTCCCCAGGAGAAACTGAGCCCACCACACATGGTGAGTTGTCTGCAGGCTGCTCCCCAGTCCCCGCTCTCCCCACGCCAGCCAGGTAAGCTGACCCCATCCCTGTAGCGTGTGCGGAACCAGCGTGCCAAAGAACACGGCAAACTGGTGAAGACAGAATTCTTCCAAATGTTTGCTCAGGTTTAACCAAAAAAAAATAAAAACAAAACAAAAAAACAAAACCATAATGTTTGCTCAGGTTTAACCAAAAAAAAAAATAAAACAAAACAAAAAAACAAAACCACAGAAAAAACAAAAAAACCCAAAAAACCACAACCCACACATACACTCTCCTTTCTCCTCCCTCCCCACTTGGCGCAAAAAAGGAGCAGGACTGATACCATTCAAGTGCAATATGGAATACTAGATATATATACACATGAGAGGTAGAAAAGCTCCAGTGTGTCTCCCGCTCACAAAACCCACTTGAGACGGGTGCCTTTGGGAGCCCCTTTGCTGACCCAGCTCTCTTCCAGCCTCCCAGAGCCAGAGTTCGGTCATTTACCCCTGTCAGCGCTCACAGCTGGAAAAAGGGGTTACGGCCTCTGCTCTGCACGGCCGAGGGGAGGAGGGAGCCGATGTGCGTGTTTATTTGTTGTCCGTGCAGAATTCCTGCATTCCTTCCCTTGTTTGCTCATCTGCTCGCAGGACATACTCGGACCCCAGCAAAGGGCTTTTGGGGCATCGCGTTCCCCCAGAGCTCGGGGCTCTGGCTGGGACACAGGACAAGCAAAAAGGGGAAGAGAAAAGCCAGTGAATGGGATATTACAGAGCTATGCTTTCAAGAACGGTTGGGCACCAAGTAGGAGAAAGATCATTCTCTGCAGCTCTGCTCTCCATAGAGGCACATCTCCACACCTGCAGGACTAAGACCCTATTTCAGGGCACAAATGGGCTGCTGCCCCCCCTCCAACAGCTATGCTGGGACCCCCACAGCAGCACCAGTAACCCAGCCACGCTCTTTGGCACGGCCACGTCAGCACTCCTCACGTTGTCCCATGGATGCCACAAGCCAGCCCTGTGCTGAGCCACATGGTCCCTGTGCTGAGCATCAGTGCGATGCACGTGTACTCCATGGGCACAGCACCACAACCCATCTGAGCCATTTGGGGAGCAGTCACAAAGGCTCCAGAGAGATTAACCCACCAGCGATACAGGGTTTCACCACAACAAGACAGAAGCACACCTCATACCCCCCAAAATCACTCAGCTTGGTTCTTAGTTACACCTCGGAGGAGCGAGCTTCACCCTCCAGCAGAACTCAGTGGGCTCCTCGGATCCCAGCAGGAGTGCACAAGGCTGGCTTAGCAAGGAAGCTAGGGGTGACTAGGACAGGCCTCCACCCCAAGCTTAACCCATTAACTTATTAGCTCTAAACCTACAGGAATATCTAATTCAAGTGTGAGGAGGTTAAATTCTGCAGTAAGTGCCTGCCACACGCCTGTGTCAGGACAGGGCTTGGGATGCTCCCAACCATATCGTAATCATTGCAGAGGACTGAGAACCTGCAGCAAACCAAACCAAACCAAAAAACCAAAAAACCCAAAAAAACACACAAAAAAATACTTTGCTTGGCTGCAACCACTGCCTCTGACAACAAGGTCAATGCCAGGCGCTGTCCCCGTGACAAGCAAGTCCACAGCGCAGTCTGACCCTACCCTGGACACACGTACAACAGTTGGACTGACCCACCTCATCACCAGCATCATTTGCCCATCAATCATTTACAAGCCAAGAGCACACAGTGGCCAAGAGAGCCAGGGCTCGTCCGCGTGCTCCGAGCGCCCCAGGGCACGCCGTGCTCCAGCCTCACCTTCCACGCAGTGCTCCACCTCCTCCAGGTTGCGCAGCGTGATCCTCATGAGGCTGGAGTTCAGCATCAGCTCGTTGCGGTGCGCCGGCCACATGTACTGCGGGGCGGGGTTGACGAAGAAAATCCGCGTGTCCCCTGTCGAGACTTGGTTGTCGCAGATTAACGGGTCCCCGAAGCCACCGATAACCACTTTGTTCCCACCATCCAAGAGGATCTCATGAGTGACGATGTCTTTGCCTTTCAGGTAGCGCCAGACTCTCACCTTGAAGGAGAGGGAGGAAGAGCACGTGAGACCACTTCACACCACGATTGGCACCTTGCAGCCCGGTTAATATTTATCACCTTGTCACAAGATGCACAGGAGCGGGTCAGGCTGGCAAAGCCTCCCAGCAGAGCTAATTTCATCAGCCATCCCTCTTAACAGCACAAAACGCGTGGGCAACAGAGACTGAAGCACATCTAACCCTCTGCCAAAGCCGTACCCAACTCCCCAGCCCGGGTACTTGGTCCCCCAGCCCCTTCCCCACAGCCCCACCGACCCCCCCAAGAGCAAACACCCAGTGAGCCCCCAGCACAAAGTATCCCGCGGGCTGGCGGAGGGTGGCAAAGCCCCTTTCCTTTGTTCGGGCAAGAACAACAGCTCCAGAGAGCTTCTCAGCAGCTCAGCCCTGGCAAGGGGGGTGGGGGGTCTCCCAGGAC